TGTGAAGAGCAGTGGACGGAGTGTGTGTGTGTGTGTGTGTGTGACTATCGCCGTCTTTCCCGTTCGTGTGTGGACCCCCGGAGCCCGGCTTTCCCCTCACTTTTGTAAATAATCACCTGGTGTATCATAATAAAGACTCTTGTGCTTTCAAGACCTAGAGCCTGCGCGTGAGTCCGTTCAGTCCCGTTGTGACACCCAATGTCTTCAATTTCTTGGGAAACTGAAGAAAGCCAGTCTCCCTCCTCCCATCCTCACATAAATCTTACTAGGGAACCACTGAGAGCGTCCTCTGCTGCTACATCACTATCTGGTACGGGAACTGCACTTTCACTGAAAAGAAGTCTCTGCAGCGGATAGTGAGAACAGCAGAGAGGATTATTGGAGGCCCTCTCCCACCCATCTCCCAACTCTACGACAAACACATCATCCAACATGTGAACAACATAGTGAAGGACACTTTCCACCCTTCACATGCACTGTTCTCCCTTCTTCCGTCTGGTAGACGGTTTCACAGCATCAAAACTGTAATGGCCAGACACTGCAAGAGCTTTCCCCCCCAAGCAGTCAGGGCCCTCAACTCAGACAAAGGACTGATAAACACACAATTTTACAAACACCTTACAATACTCACCAAAAGACTCAAAAACAACTTCACAAGACTTCCACAAATGCACTATAAACTGGACCTGCAAACAATATGCTTATTTGCACACCCCAGTCACATAGCTGCTCATAAACATCTAAATTATATTATATTTGCACATTTTGCATCTTGCACATGCCCTCGTTCTGTCTTGTCTACAATATCCTAGAGAGAACTTGAACCTGGTATTCAATAGCAGACTTATCCGGCGCCCCCCATGTGTGGCAGCCTGTTACAGCAGCTCCGCTCATTCTGAGCTTCTTTCTTATCTCTTTATTTTCTCTTAATTTTTTTGTAACTAAAGTTTTAGCAATTACATTCTACAATCATGGACTACGGTTTTGTGCTAGTCTTGGTCGTTTTTCTCTGTTTTTTTCCACTTTTTTCACCCGTATTTGGGGACCCAGTGCATAGATCCTTTGTTTAAAGTAGGGATCAGCTGTTAGCTCTGTGTCCCACAGCGGTGTGGCTGCCGGACAGGCACGACATTCCCAGCAAGCTGAGGAGGAAAAGACGGGGTGTCGTGCTGGGAGGGAGTGCCGTCACCTGAGAAGGAGACGTTACAGGCCATCTATTCCTTCTGTGATCACTGGAAATGTAAGATCGCTGCCCAATAAGATGGATGAGCTCATGTCGCTAACCTGGTCACAGAGGGAGTACCGGCAATATAGCATCATGATGCTAACGGAGTCCTGGCTAACACCGCTAACTCCGGACACGAGTGTGATGCTACCTGGATTCCAGCTGCTGTGGGCGGACAGGATGAAAGAAAGCAGTAAGAGGAAATGAGGGGGACTGGCAGTCTTTGTGAACGACAGATGGTGTAACCCTGGGCACATCACTGTGAAAGAACAACTCTGCAGCAGAGACATTGAGCTGTTAGCCATTAGCATGCATCCGTACTACATAGCCAGGGAATTCTGGCAAGTTAATGCGATAACAGCGTATGCCCCCCCCCCCCTCGGCCAACGCGGATACAGCCTATGACTCTCTCCACTCCGTAGTCAGCAGACTGCAAACGCAATCTCTAAGAGCCCTTCTCCTAATATCAGGGGACTTTAATCATGTCTCACTGGACTCCACACTGCCCACCTTCACCCAGTATGTAACATGCCCAACCAGAGACAATAGAACACTGGACTCACTGTACGCCAACACAGAAGAGGCATACAGTTCACCTCTCCCTCCTCTGGGCAGATCTGATCACAACCTAGCTCAGTGAGATAAGGAGCCATTCTCTGAGCGGAAGGCCTGTGTTCGAATCCCGCTTATAGCAACATTTCTTTCAGTTAACAGTTAAACTTCTTAAACTCTTTTCAACACAAATTTCAGCTTCTTCACCCCTTTTCAGCAAAAATTCCAGATTCTTCAGCTGTTTTCAGCTTAAACTTTAGCTTCATTACCTCTTTTCAGAGCAATGTTCTGCTTCTTTACCCCTTTTCAGTAGAACGTTCTTCTTCTTTACCGCTTTTCAGCAGAATTTTCAGGTTCTTGGCCTGTTTTCAGCTGAATTTTCTGTTTTTTTCATCTCTTTTTAGCAGAACGTTCAACAAGTTCACCTCTTTTCAGCAGAAAGTTCAAAAGTTCACCTCTTTTTAGCGGAATTTCCAGCTTTTTCACCTCTTTTCAGTTACCTGAGATCCAGTTTGGCTCAGTGAGATCAGTAGCCTTGAGACCAGGAGGACCCATTTCGAACCCTGCTCATGGCAACATTTCTTTTCAGCAGACAGTTCAACTTTTTCACCTCTTTTCGGTACAAATTTCAGCTTTTTCACCACTTTTCAGCCGAGTTTTTGGCTTTTCAGCAAAAATTTCTGCCTCTTCACCGGTTTTCAGCAGATTTTTCAGTTTCTTCACCTCTTTTCAGCAGATAGTTCTACTTCTTCAGCTGTTTAAACAGATTCCACTACACGGCATTCACACTGCATTTTCGCAGGAAATGCAACTTTTTCTAGTTCCATAGTTCATGTTCATAGTGTTTCCCAGTTCATGTTCATAGCATCATACTCACGTAATCTGATATTTCATAGTTGACGTTCATTTGCCTTAGCCTCATTTCTAGCTTTAACACTTGTAAATATTGTTGTCACAGCGTCACTGTAAATAAAGTTCTTGTTCACATAATTTTGAGCCTCCATTTTGAGTCTGTTTTTGGGTCCACCTCACATTCTGACTTTGGTCCAGACATGTTTGGGGTTTTTTTTGTAATGTTTGTTGGATAAGGCTCTATGCAGCTGTGATAGTCCTTATTAACTGATGTATTGGGCCATTAGGTGACAAGTAAGCAGAGTGGAGTTCAGCGAGGATCACTTTATTTGCAGTTGGTAATTTCTTAAATCATTCTATTAGCATGCCAGAGCTGCACTGCTGCATTTTTGCTGAGGCATTCTGTTTCACTTAAGCAAGTTTGATCCAGCACCCTTTTTTTCTACCTCACATTGTGAAATTAATTATTAATATGTAATACTCTTTTGATTCACTTATCAATTTTAAAGGACAAACATAATCTAGAGTAGGCTCTTTCTGCCAGCTCTTACCCCTGAGGACAGAGTCAGACTAGTGGAAAGTAATAAAAGAAACTAAGCAGTAATGTTCCTGAAATAAATTTCATACAAACAAAACTTAAGCTGATGAGACCTGAATGGCTGCTGTTCCAAGTAATCCAAAGGAATAGTGGATTGTTTATTATTTCTAAGTGCACTGGCATTTAATGTCTACATCCTTCATAAAGAAATATAACACATACAAGGTGGTGTATATTAAAGGGGGGAAAAGCAAAAGGAAATTATACCCACATGAGTACTTTGCGGTATTAACATTTTAGGGTGTTACATGCCACGATGAGTGGCACTGCTGTTTTTCTGTTGCTCTTGTTTTTCAGGTGTCAAACTTCTACCTATTGGCCCATTCACAGTTAATTGGCACATGTGTATTGGCTGATCTCGACACTGTAAGCCAATCCCCTGCCATGGATCATTACAAAAGGGCAGCTTCCTAGCCAGCTAGGCCTGCTGTGAAGTGGTTGGCAGTTGTCGGGTGGAAGCAGCACGTGGAGGTTTTGTGGATTATCGGAAGACTGTTTGAGTGGATTGTTTAGTTTTGGCTTTGGAATACAGATTTGGATCACGGATTTTGGCAATTGGCATAAGTTGGTGTGTGACTGGACTAGAATGGCACACAGGTAGAGGACGATGATGATATGGATTTAGGAGACTGGAAGCCAGTTATAGGACAGGGTCAGGTAGAGGAAGAAGAGTAAGAGAGGATGGGAGTATGTTAGGAACTCAGAGTAGCAAACAAAGTTTATAGGGGAATATCTCAGATGACGGGGGTGTAATTCAGAAAAAGATTGTCAGAGAAGAGTTTAAAATAATATAGAGATTTATGCTGGAGGATAAGGGAGTGCAATTAAGCCTGATAGTTTTATCGAGACAGCTGAAAAAGAAGTTTGGAGATGTAACACTAGCTAAAGTACTAAGAGATGGAAGTTTGTTCATAGCCATTAAGACGGAAGCGCAGAAAAATAAAGTGTTAAATTGTGAGAGTACTTGCAAAAAGTGTGTCAGAGAAAGGAAAACATTGGGGGAGTTTAAGGTGGTGTGGGGAGTAATCAAAGGTACCAGTAGAGGGAGATCTAGAAAAAAAAATCACACAAAGTATTTCTGGCAGTGATGTCAGCAGGATTAAAAGACTGCTGAGAACAGTCAGTGGGGAAAGAGTTGATAGACTGTCTGTAATGCTGGAATTCCAAGAACCGTTTCTTCCAGGTTCCTCTGTTAAAATAGGGTGCATGAGTTTTGTTGAGTTTGGACTTTGTTATTAAAGGGTATGAGAGTGTTTGGAGTGGTAGAAGGAAGGGTAGAGGAGGAGGTTGTGTTATATTTATGAAACAAAGAATTTAGTATAGAGCTTTGGGAGAAGGAACACAGTTGGAGTATACTATAGTTGAAACTTGGACAGAAAATGGAAGCATCAAGAACTTGGGGTACACTTAGGGGGGAAAGTAATTTGGTGTGGGACTTTAATGCTCATAGAACATTATGGGGAGATTACAAAGACCAAAATGAAGCAGTAATTGAAGAGTTAATGGAAGTTAAAAATTTGCTATGCCTAAATGATGGAAGCAGTACAAGAATCAGTACTAGGGATGGTACAGAATCACCAATTGATCTCACATTAGTATCAGATTCATTGGCGGGTGTTTGTTCATGGCAGGTAGTCAAAGAGATAATGGTGGGGAGTGACCACTATCTGGCATGGACTGAGACAGAACTGAAAATAGAGAGGCATGGTACAAGAGGTGTGCAGAAATGGTGTTTTGGGTATAATACTGGATAAATATGGGTATCCAGTGTAACACCCGTCCCACGTTCTATTGAGAGGGGCCCTGGGTTCCTGTTGTTACTTTCCTATTGATACTCCCTTTTTAATGCTTATGGTATTAAATATGCAATAAAACTACACTATATGGAAATAAATCACACACAAGCAGGTCAATTATAAAGTTAACTCCACTTTAGTGAATGCTTAATTAACAACACAAAGAAAATAAGTAAAATCAATAAAGTTTGTTAAACAATGGTAAGGTATCTACCTCAACAGAAACAAAATAATCAAATAATATTGTGGGCCCACACGCACTCTCACCAACACACACACACACCTCAAGTGCTACAGTCTTTCTGCTAGCAAACCCCTCGTTGCAGGCCTGAGTCGTGGCTCGGGTGCGTTGGGACCTAAAACAATATGGTCGCTTCACTTGTTGCCAAGCAGTAAAAATAAAAAGCACGTGCAAACAACAGTACTCACACCTCCAGGCAGTTCAAGGGATAGCGGGGAAACTGGGTCACGGCTACCAGCAGGCCGCGGCAGCAGCACTCACAGTCGTCCTTTCCACGTGCTCCCACGTGAACACATAACTTCAGCACACCAGCAGAAGGGACCTCTCTGACACGCCAGCAAGACGTCCGTCTCCTCCTACTGAATCACACAACTCCGCTAAATGCCAGTTCACATACGATAACATTCAATCTTAGCATTAGCTTAATAAATAAAAACAGAGCAGAACAAGAGCTTAGCGCATATGCTAGGCTACGCTAGCGGCTATGTTAGCGCTAATCCGTTTTACACAATAACATTGGGTACAAGTGTCAGACAAAATCCACATTTACCTCACAGTAGGGTACAACAGTTCTCGACTCCAGTTAACTATCCGTCAACCCGAAAATGCGTCTGTCGCCCTTCTATGAACTCTGCGTTCACTCGACACTGTTCAGCTCTCGTCTCTCTCGCTTCCTGCAGAGTGCACACGGCTCCCCACTTACTCCCACCCCTCTACCTGAGACTACTTCAGGGTTCACTGGAGCTGTAGTACATATCAATACCATATCAAAAATAATGACATAAACCTCAAAATACAAATAAAAAGGTTGTGCATTTAACTGACACACATCACATACTTTGCAGGCATTTGTATACATTCTTGAACACATTAAACATTTGCAATTAACTATCAATATTAATGAACAAATTGAAATAATGAGCTACTTATATAGCCAGGGCTACACCCTCCCCCTTCTGAATGTCTGAATGTCCCCATCAGACCTATTTTCATTAGGCCAGTTAAAATCTCACTAAAGAGTACTGGCTAGTGCATTAACATTTAGGAGTCAGGGTCGTAGCAAATCTGAATTACCATACCTCGGTAACTAATAGTCACAGGTCTGTCAGTGGGCCTTCCAAGTTCATCATAACTGAGGCGCAAAACAGGTCTCACTCTCCTTTTTGTTTGGAGGTCATATGGTGAGTCAGCACCCCCAACTGAGATACTAGGTGTAGGAACATCTCTGTCCTCCAGCTCTTCAGCCCCCACCAAGTCTTGGTGTTGCTGTGAACTTTCCTCCGTCTGATCTACTACTACTGAGAGTTCTTCCCCTTGTTCCTCCACCTCGGACAATTCATGAACACTGGGATGATCACTTTCCATATGGTCAGGAAGGCTCACAACCTCCTCACGTCGAGGTTCAACACTGTCGCGAAAGGCTAAAGGAGGTTCATAGTAGACACACTGTTCTTCAGACTCTGAGGACCAATCATCTTCACTCAGATGCTCCAAATTTTGTGTCTGACTTTCATCTTCACACCTTACTTGCTGTGCCCTGGTCCTTGGTCTCTTTGGTCGCGCTGTCTTTTCTGATGTAGCAGACATCCTGACCATGTAACCAATGGGCAGCAGGTGATCCCTATGCACGGTCCTCACAATACCAGTTCCTCTCTCTGGTTTTACACGATACACAGGGAGATTGGGTAACTTGGCGATCACTATGTAAGGTAGTGATTTCCATCTGTCTTGTAGTTTGTGCTTTCCTGTGAGGCCCAGATTCCGAACCAGCACCCGATCACCTTCCTCAAGTGTCTGATTCCGAACTCTCGCATCATACAGTCTCTTGTTTCGTTCATTGTTCCTGGAAGCTGCATCAGCGGCTAGCTGGTAAGCTTTTTGAAGTTCTTTTCTCATGTTAGCCACATACTGGTGGTGCTTTAAGTCATTTTCTTCATCTGACCCCACACCAAAACACAGGTCAATGGGTAGTCGCGCCTCTCTTCCAAACATGAGGAAGTAGGGCGAGTATCCTGTGGCATCATTTCTAGTGGTGTTGTAAGCATGTACTAGCTGGCTTATATGCTGGCTCCACTTAGGCTTTTTAGCTGAATCCAGGGTGCCCAACATTGCCAGCAAAGTACGGTTGAAACGCTCAGGCTGCGGGTCACCCTGAGGGTGGTAAGGTGACGTTCGGGACTTACGAATGCCCAGCAGGGTCAATAGCTCCTTAATGAGCTTGCTCTCAAAATCTCTACCCTGGTCTGAGTGAATGCGAGCCGGCAATCCATAATGCACAAAGAACTTTTCAAAAAGGACTTTGGCGACAGTCAGTGCTTTCTGATCTTTTGTGGGAAATGCTTGAGCATACCTGGTGTAATGATCAGTGACAACCAGCACATTAGCTATGCCTTTAGAGTCTGGCTCAATAGAAAGAAAGTCTATGCAGACCAGGTCTAGAGGGCCATTACTGGTAATGTGGTGTAAAGGGGCAGCTTTCTGTGGGATGGACTTCCTAGCTACACACCTTCCACAGTTCTGTATGTATGTTGCAACTTCAGATGCCACTCTGGGCCAGTAAAACCGGTCTTTAATGAGCTCTGTAGTTCGTTCTGTGCCCAGGTGACCAGCATCATCATGCACTGATTTTAGTACCATTGGCCGATACTTAGCAGGCAAGACGATCTGACTCACTTCTCGACCAGAGGGTCTTGTGGTGACTCTGTACAGAAGGCCACGCTTAACCTTTAACTTGGATCTTTCTCGCATCAGCAACACAACATCTGGGTTTGGATGCGTGGAAGCTGAAACACTTTGGTTTCTCTCAACCTGAGGTTTCACCACACCTATAACTGGATCAGAGTCTTGGGCTTCTGACAGTTCTTTCAGGCTTAGCTGTTCCAGCGGGCCCACTTCTATCTGAGTGAAGTTTGCATATAAAGCTGGAATGGCGTCTGGCGAAACACCCAGCTGGTCAACAAATCTGGTGGTGTGTTCTTGAAAACCATCTGTAGTGATCCGACGACACAAAGCTTTTGCCCCAGAAGGTGGGATATCCACCCATCCATCTGTTGTGTCTTGCGGACTCCTGGACAGTGAGTCGGCATCCACATTTTCACGGCCGGGCTTATATTGAATACTAAAATCATAGGTGGAGAGTGCTGCTAGCCACCGATGACCTGTCGCGTTCAACCTGGCAGTGGTCAGGACGTAGGTGAGTGGGTTATTATCAGTTCGCACCGTGAACTTAGCCCCATAAAGGTAGTCATGGAACTTTTCCACTACTGCCCATTTCAGAGCCAAAAACTCCAGTTGGTGAACTGGGTAGTTCCGTTCTGCATGACTCAACTTGCGGCTGGCAAACGCTACCGGGCGGAGTCCTTCTGGGCACTCTTGGTTCAGGACTGCTCCTAGCCCATCCAAACTTGCATCAACATGTAGGATGTATGGTTTGGCTGGATCAGCAAATGCCAAGACTGGAGCATGTGTGAGCTTGTAAACAATGCTCTGAAAGGCGTCATCACAAGCTGGGGTCCACCGATCACCAAAAGGCTCGGCAACTCGAAAGTAGCTATTTTGCTTTCCTTTAGTGACACCCTTTTTGCTACCCTGTGCAGGAGGGTATCCCTTGGTCAGTTCTGTCAAAGGGCGGACTATGGCGGAGTAGTTCTTGATGAACCGCCGGTAGTATCCACAAAATCCGAGAAAAGATCTTAGGGATTTCAGATCAGTGGGTTTCTTCCAGTGAGTCACCGCACTCACTTTCTCAGGATCAGTGGCAACTCCAGAGGCAGAGACAATGTGTCCCAAGAACTTCACCTGGGGTTGGCAAAATTGGCATTTGTCAATGGAGACTTTGAGACCACATTCCTCCAGCCGGTCCAGGACTTTAAGTAACCGTTCCTCGTGCTCCTCCAGTGTCCTGCCAAACACAATAAGGTCATCCAGATACACAAGGACTTGAATCAGGTTCATGTCTCCAACAGCTCTCTCCATTAACCTTTGAAAGGTTGCGGGTGCGCCAGTGATGCCTTGAGGCATCCTCTCAAACTGGAAAAACCCAAGAGGACAGATAAAAGCTGTTTTCTCTTTATCAGCCTCAGACATCTCCACTTGGTAATATCCACTTCTCAGGTCCAGTACCGAAAACCACTTGCTTCCTGTCAGACAATCCAGTGCATCATCTATGCGTGGCATAGTGTACTGGTCTGGGATGGTTCTGGAGTTCAGTAGACGGTAATCAATACACATCCGCACCTTGCCATTCTTCTTCCTGACTATGACAATCGGGGAAGCATACGGACTGCGTGACTCTTTGATTATGCCGGCTGCCAGCAGTTCTTGTAGATGGCGTCGGACATCTTCAATGTCAGCAGGTGCGATTCTGCGAGATCTCTCCCTGAATGGTCGAGGGTCTCTCAGCCTTATGTGGTGAGTGACACCTTTGGCTAAGCCGACGTCCCACTCCTCCAGGAAAAAAACATCCGCTCTTTTTGATAACTTTGCTGCTAACCTGGCTTTCCACTCTTCAGGGATAGGAGAATCTCCAAAGTCAAACAGTTCAGGGTTAATAGACCTTTCTTGGGCAGAGGTCTTTGTTAACTCAGTGACAGTGTCCACCAAGTACACCTGAGCTAGCACTGTACCAGTGGGGACAATAGTCTCTCTTTGGGACTCGTTTCTTAGCAGAAGTGTGAAACTGTTAGTGTCCATCTCAGAAGATGGTAGTACTACAGGTGGGACCAACACTCCAGCTGGGAGGTTTGTAGATTCGCCCACCTCCACCATTAGAATACTTTTGTCTAATGGCTGCTGTTGTTCCACCTTACAAACTGCATACTGTACTGCACAAGGAGGGATAGTGATTGGCCCGGGGCCTTGCCACTTCACATGACCCACCACGCCTGTTTGTTGGCTAATGAGTGATGAGGGCAGTTCTGAGGAGAGACTATTTATCCTCAGTGAGTGAATCTCATCTTTCCCTCCTACCTCTTCACAATCTCTCAGCAGAGAATGCAGTTTCTGGGAGTTAGTGCCAATGATGACAGGAACCGGGTCTGGGCTCTTTGGATCTGGACACACCAAGGCCAAGACAGTGACTGTCTCTACAGCTTCCTTTGAGTTGGGGGGAAAACCCACCTCAACTGCCACATACCCCTTGTATGGGTAGTTGGAATCACTCAGTCCCCATATGGCGAGATCTTTTAAAGGAAGAATGGGCACATTGGGGATGAAACGGGAATACCAGCTCTCAAATATAATGGTGACTCGAGAGCCGCTGTCAAGGAGAGCTTTACATGGTTGTCCTTCTATGGTCACATCGGTCATCATGGACGGGCCAACCAATCCTTCTGGGAGTCCATCCTGTGAGGATGTGTGCACGGAACTTTTCCGGATGGAACCGACCTGTGTGGGCTCAGAAGCGCCACCTGTAGCTCCTTTTCCCCCTTTGCTCCTACGAAGGGCTCCGAGTAGCCTCTGAATTACTTTGGCAGTGTTTTCAGGAGCCATGCAGTGGGTGGCAATATGGCCATTCTCCCCACACCGGTAACAGAAATAACTTTCTGAATCTTTTGCAGCATATGGTCTGTTTACCTTGCTTCGTCTGGCCCTCCCATCTCTCTTTGTTGAGTCAGTTTGGGTTGAACCCTGTGACACTGCCATAACAGTCAGCTGGTGTTGTAACTGTTGAACTTGCTGCTTTAACTGTTGGACTTCATTCTCCGCGCCAGTCTCAGCAACTTTCTTGGTTTGTTTCAACATTAGCTCGGCATCTGAGCGCTTGCTTGTTAACTCTTTAAGCTCAGAGCGTAACTCTTTGATCTCGGCTTTGAGCTCTTGAACCTCTGTCGATTTGGCTTTTGTCTCTTCACCAACTTTCACTTGTCTAACTGTGGTGTTTGACTCATGCCTCACTCTTGCATGGTCTTCTTCTTCTCGAATCTCACTGAGCAGCTTCAGGAAAGCGGGTGGCTCTTCCTTTCTTTCTCTGAGTCTTAGCTGCAGTAACATTATCTCTGACTCAGTTGCACCCCGTATAAGCTGGTCAATACGTGCACGGTCGACTCGATGGCTAGGGAGACCCCCTCTCTGCACTACCTTGGTCAGAGAGCGTTCCAATCTTCTCAGGAAGTCTGACAGCTTTTCTCCTCGCTGTTGACCCAGGCTCCTGAAGGTGAGGTACAAGTCTTCACCTGACTCCAGGGATCCAAATGCACTTTCTAGAGACTCTACATAGCTCTCCGGGCTAGCATCAGGGTTATCTCGGCGTACAGCTTGGATGATCTCCAACGCCGGTCCCTTTAGGCTCTCAACTACTCTCCTTCGCTTCTCTCTCTCAGAGCAGTCACACTCTTCAATCATCAGGCGAGCCTGCTCAACCCAGCTATCCAGGCTCTCCTCACCTGCTGGAGTGGGAGAGTGGCCAGAGAATATCCGCAGACGTCGAGATGCAGTATTCTCACTGGTAGGTCGCATAGTTTTCACTAACAGGTCTCCGACTGCCCGAATGATGGATTCAAGGGAGTTTTCCTGTGGGGTTTCAGTAGACAGCAAGGCACTAACATCATCAATTGTTTTGCCTTCTTCTACCATTAGTTTCTTAAGCTTGGCTGAGAAGTCATCAACTGACCTCACAGATTCAGTGAGGAGGGAAATCTTCCAGACAGGACCTCCATTCAATGGCTGTACATGTGGTGGTATGCGGTCTGGCTGAGTAGCTTGACGGCATTCACACAGCACAAGGTTATTGCCTGTCTGGGTGTCTCTTAGTCTATCTCTCACTTTTACTCTTCCAAAAGCTTTCACTGACTGAGCTGTCTCTTCAATGTCTGATAAGTCAAAATCAGAAGGAACATCATGCAGTACAAAAGCCCGGTTTGGGTCTATACCTGCTTTACTGCACCAGCTACTAAGCTCAGGTGCAATTTGAGACTCTTTTCGAGTAGTCATCATACAAACCCTAATGCTGGTGTGCTAGGCTGTGAAAATCTGTAAACAAAATACTCCTTTAAAGAACAAACTAGAAAAGTTAAGCACGGGAGTATCCCAGCAGTGCCTCCATAATTGTGTAACACCCGTCCCACATTCTATTGAGAGGGGCCCTGGGTTCCTGTTGTTACTTTCCTACTCCCCCTTCTGAATGTCTGAATGTCCCCATCAGACCTATTTTCATTAGGCCAGTTAAAATCTCACTAAAGAGTACTGGCTAGTGCATTAACATTTAGGAGTCAGGGTCGTAGCAAATCTGAATTACCATACCTCGGTAACTAATAGTCACAGGTCTGTCAGTGGGCCTTCCAAGTTCATCATAACTGAGGCGCAAAACAGGTCTCACTCTCCTTTTTGTTTGGAGGTCATATGGTGAGTCAGCACCCCCAACTGAGATACTAGGTGTAGGAACATCTCTGTCCTCCAGCTCTTCAGCCCCCACCAAGTCTTGGTGTTGCTGTGAACTTTCCTCCGTCTGATCTACTACTACTGAGAGTTCTTCCCCTTGTTCCTCCACCTCGGACAATTCATGAACACTGGGATGATCACTTTCCATATGGTCAGGAAGGCTCACAACCTCCTCACGTCGAGGTTCAACACTGTCGCGAAAGGCTAAAGGAGGTTCATAGTAGACACACTGTTCTTCAGACTCTGAGGACCAATCATCTTCACTCAGATGCTCCAAATTTTGTGTCTGACTTTCATCTTCACACCTTACTTGCTGTGCCCTGGTCCTTGGTCTCTTTGGTCGCGCTGTCTTTTCTGATGTAGCAGACATCCTGACCATGTAACCAATGGGCAGCAGGTGATCCCTATGCACGGTCCTCACAATACCAGTTCCTCTCTCTGGTTTTACACGATACACAGGGAGATTGGGTAACTTGGCGATCACTATGTAAGGTAGTGATTTCCATCTGTCTTGTAGTTTGTGCTTTCCTGTGAGGCCCAGATTCCGAACCAGCACCCGATCACCTTCCTCAAGTGTCTGATTCCGAACTCTCGCATCATACAGTCTCTTGTTTCGTTCATTGTTCCTGGAAGCTGCATCAGCGGCTAGCTGGTAAGCTTTTTGAAGTTCTTTTCTCATGTTAGCCACATACTGGTGGTGCTTTAAGTCATTTTCTTCATCTGACCCCACACCAAAACACAGGTCAATGGGTAGTCGCGCCTCTCTTCCAAACATGAGGAAGTAGGGCGAGTATCCTGTGGCATCATTTCTAGTGGTGTTGTAAGCATGTACTAGCTGGCTTATATGCTGGCTCCACTTAGGCTTTTTAGCTGAATCCAGGGTGCCCAACATTGCCAGCAAAGTACGGTTGAAACGCTCAGGCTGCGGGTCACCCTGAGGGTGGTAAGGTGACGTTCGGGACTTACGAATGCCCAGCAGGGTCAATAGCTCCTTAATGAGCTTGCTCTCAAAATCTCTACCCTGGTCTGAGTGAATGCGAGCCGGCAATCCATAATGCACAAAGAACTTTTCAAAAAGGACTTTGGCGACAGTCAGTGCTTTCTGATCTTTTGTGGGAAATGCTTGAGCATACCTGGTGTAATGATCAGTGACAACCAGCACATTAGCTATGCCTTTAGAGTCTGGCTCAATAGAAAGAAAGTCTATGCAGACCAGGTCTAGAGGGCCATTACTGGTAATGTGGTGTAAAGGGGCAGCTTTCTGTGGGATGGACTTCCTAGCTACACACCTTCCACAGTTCTGTATGTATGTTGCAACTTCAGATGCCACTCTGGGCCAGTAAAACCGGTCTTTAATGAGCTCTGTAGTTCGTTCTGTGCCCAGGTGACCAGCATCATCATGCACTGATTTTAGTACCATTGGCCGATACTTAGCAGGCAAGACGATCTGACTCACTTCTCGACCAGAGGGTCTTGTGGTGACTCTGTACAGAAGGCCACGCTTAACCTTTAACTTGGATCTTTCTCGCATCAGCAACACAACATCTGGGTTTGGATGCGTGGAAGCTGAAACACTTTGGTTTCTCTCAACCTGAGGTTTCACCACACCTATAACTGGATCAGAGTCTTGGGCTTCTGACAGTTCTTTCAGGCTTAGCTGTTCCAGCGGGCCCACTTCTATCTGAGTGAAGTTTGCATATAAAGCTGGAATGGCGTCCGGCGAAACACCCAGCTGGTCAACAAATCTGGTGGTGTGTTCTTGAAAACCATCTGTAGTGATCCGACGACACAAAGCTTTTGCCCCAGAAGGTGGGATATCCACCCATCCATCTGTTGTGTCTTGCGGACTCCTGGACAGTGAGTCGGCATCCACATTTTCACGGCCGGGCTTATATTGAATACTAAAATCATAGGTGGAGAGTGCTGCTAGCCACCGATGACCTGTCGCGTTCAACCTGGCAGTGGTCAGGACGTAGGTGAGTGGGTTATTATCAGTTCGCACCGTGAACTTAGCCCCATAAAGGTAGTCATGGAACTTTTCCACTACTGCCCATTTCAGAGCCAAAAACTCCAGTTGGTGAACTGGGTAGTTCCGTTCTGCATGACTCAACTTGCGGCTGGCAAACGCTACCGGGCGGAGTCCTTCTGGGCACTCTTGGTTCAGGACTGCTCCTAGCCCATCCAAACTTGCATCAACATGTAGGATGTATGGTTTGGCTGGATCAGCAAATGCCAAGACTGGAGCATGTGTGAGCTTGTAAACAATGCTCTGAAAGGCGTCATCACAAGCTGGGGTCCACCGATCACCAAAAGGCTCGGCAACTCGAAAGTAGCTATTTTGCTTTCCTTTAGTGACACCCTTTTTGCTACCCTGTGCAGGAGGGTATCCCTTGGTCAGTTCTGTCAAAGGGCGGACTATGGCGGAGTAGTTCTTGATGAACCGCCGGTAGTATCCACAAAATCCGAGAAAAGATCTTAGGGATTTCAGATCAGTGGGTTTCTTCCAGTGAGTCACCGCACTCACTTTCTCAGGATCAGTGGCAACTCCAGAGGCAGAGACAATGTGTCCCAAGAACTTCACCTGGGGTTGGCAAAATTGGCATTTGTCAATGGAGACTTTGAGACCACATTCCTCCAGCCGGTCCAGGACTTTAAGTAACCGTTCCTCGTGCTCCTCCAGTGTCCTGCCAAACACAATAAGGTCATCCAGATACACAAGGACTTGAATCAGGTTCATGTCTCCAACAGCTCTCTCCATTAACCTTTGAAAGGTTGCGGGTGCGCCAGTGATGCCTTGAGGCATCCTCTCAAACTGGAAAAACCCAAGAGGACAGATAAAAGCTGTTTTCTCTTTATCAGCCTCAGACATCTCCACTTGGTAATATCCACTTCTCAGGTCCAGTACCGAAAACCACTTGCTTCCTGTCAGACAATCCAGTGCATCATCTATGCGTGGCATAGTGTACTGGTCTGGGATGGTTCTGGAGTTCAGTAGACGGTAATCAATACACATCCGCACCTTGCCATTCTTCTTCCTGACTATGACAATCGGGGAAGCATACGGACTGCGTGACTCTTTGATTATGCCGGCTGCCAGCAGTTCTTGTAGATGGCGTCGGACATCTTCAATGTCAGCAGGTGCGATTCTGCGAGATCTCTCCCTGAATGGTCGAGGGTCTCTCAGCCTTATGTGGTGAGTGACACCTTTGGCTAAGCCGACGTCCCACTCCTCCAGGAAAAAAACATCCGCTCTACGACTCCCCACCATCCATGCACAAACTATTATATACACCATATATTTACAAAAAGTGCAGAAAGCGGCTCCGTCCACTACACACACACATACACACACACACACACACTCTCTCTCTCTCTCACACTCTCTCTCTCTCACACACTCTCTCTCTCTCACACATACACACAAAAATACAAATTCAAAATCAAATTAAATTACTTTACACTACGACGCACGTCCACGACAAAACACAGACTCACTTATAAATCGGATCACTCGATACACAGGGTCTGGCCAAGGCAGAAGCCCACAGAGCCCGCCAGCAGAGAAGAAAAAGGAAGGACGAGAGAGAACAAATTAAAAAAAAATACAAAACATATGTAGACCATACTGGACCGGACCGAATAGCACAGACCCACAGTGGTCCTGATGAGGTGATTAGCAGCGCCAGAAGCAAATCTTATATCGGAACAGTTGATTCTGACACTAGTTCTATATTTTGTTTTATTCTTTCTTATGCATTCAGACTCATCGATAATGTTTTGAGAGACCCCACCACTTAGTATCTGCAACTGATGTAGATTGACCGTTACGGAAGGAACACATACAGGAGGGAACACATGACTAAGACACAGCCCTTGCAGTAGCCGTTACGCACCTTAGAACTTTTAAACCAGCTGCGTAGGTCCACCCCAAGGGTGGAAACCTGAGTTGCAACCACAGAGATGGACGTCGAAACAATTAACAGCCAGCAGCATCAATGTCAGCAGGTGCGATTCTGCGAGATCTCTCCCTGAATGGTCGAGGGTCTCTCAGCCTTATGTGGTGAGTGACACCTTTGGCTAAGCCGACGTCCCACTCCTCCAGGAAAAAAACATCCGCTCTTTTTGATAACTTTGCTGCTAACCTGGCTTTCCACTCTTCAGGGATAGGAGAATCTCCAAAGTCAAACAGTTCAGGGTTAATAGACCTTTCTTGGGCAGAGGTCTTTGTTAACTCAGTGACAGTGTCCACCAAGTACATATACATTCTTGAACACATTAAACATTTGCAATTAACTATCAATATTAATGAACAAATTGAAATAATGAGCTACTTATATAGCCAGGGCTACACCAGTATTAAATGATGTCAAAGTTATAGCAGTGATATCACAGTCTGGCAGAGGCTATATATATGGAGTGACGAAGAGCACCCAAAATGCAGACACGATGGAACGAGGATGAAAACTTGAATATTTAAAGAAAGTGAGCCGTTTATTAAGGCTGGTAAAACATTACAAAACACAAGGCAGAGGCGAAGCTAAACAATGACCTAAACTGGGGAAACTAAAGATAAACTTTAAAAAAACAAACAAACATGAAACCTGACGTGGATCCAAAGATACCTGGAACCTGGAAACGTGGCACAAAGGACAACAGACAACCTGACATTGAACATAGGAGGACAGAGGACTTAAGTACACAGAGGGATAATGAGGGGATGGAGAACAGTTGGGAACACAGCTGGGACAAATCAGACCTAACGAGACAAGGGGAAGAAAAACTAGACACAGTGCACATAGGACAGGGACTTTCACAATAAAACAGGAAACAGCATGGAACACAGACATAATAATGGATTGGATTTATATAGCGCTTTTCAAGGAACCCAAAGCGCTTTACAATGCCCCTATTCATTCCCTCTCACACACTAGTGGAGGCAAGCTACAGTTGTAGCCACAGCTGCCCTGGGGTAGACTGACAGAAGCGAGGCTGCCATATTGCGCCATCGGCCCCTCTGGCCAACACCAGTAGGCGGTAGGGTAAAGTGTCTTGCCCAAGGACAGAACGACCAGGACAGAGAGCCCAGGGATCGAACCGGCGACCTTCCGGTTACAGATACGCTTCCCAACCCCCTGAGCCATGGTCGCCCCAGACATGACAATGTGAACTTGACAACATGGACAAGAAGACAAGAAACATGACAGACTAACACAGAAGACCAAAGTGAAACATAACTGAACTAAACTAAACTTAGGACAACCAAAAAATAATCCTATTATACAACATAATTAAAGGGCTAACTTAAAAATTCAAAATGTAAACAAAATGCTGGGTCAGAGACCCGGGATAGTGATAAATGAAATTCACAGCTTAAATAATATTAGTAAAGAAGGTCAAAGGGGAAGAGAAATGACAATTGCAGAAAATAGGGGGATACTGCAGCAAGTAGACAACACAAATGATGCATTGAATATTCCGTTTACAAAGACAGAATAAGCATATGATATGATGTGGAAAGAAGATCTAATAATTAAAATTAGGGAAATGGGTATAAATAGTCGAATGTTCAGATGGATTAAGGATTTTATTTTGGTTGGAAGACTGAGCTATTCAGGAAGTTTGCCAATAGAAAATGGAACGCCACAAGGAAGCATAGTGAGCATATTATTGTTTTCATTGCTGATAAATGATGTGTTTAACAACATTGTGGGTGTGGGTGTGATAGCAACCATTCCCCAACTCTCTGTGAATGGTACTCATGTTCATTGATCAATGGCCTTTGATCAGTGGTCGTTGATCAATGGTCATGACAATTTGCATATTAATGATCAAGGAACTGACCTCACAGCCCATTGTTCATTCAGTGAGCTGGTTTCAGTCAATGTGCAAATGTACTGTTTATAAGGTTGGGGAAACCTTGCAGTCAGTTGAGACTGAAGAAGTGTGAGTGAGTGACTAAACGTTTCTCCCACTGAAAACACTATGTTACCCCGGTACTGTGGCAATGGGCTTACAGGTTAAACTAAGTTGAACAAATTTTGTGCTAATTATTTGTCAGTACTGTAAACTAGTTGGATGATTATAAGGACATGTTGCAATGTTTTTCCCGTGACCAAACCATCCTTGAATGCTACTTCTATGGATTCCTCCTAAGACAATCTAAGGAGCTTGGACAGAAAAGCGTCTGGACTTCTTTAAGTTGCTTGAAGATGTTTCACCTCTCATCCGAGAAGCTTCTTCAGTTCTAGGGTCAAATGGTGGAGAGTCACAGATTTAAACCCTGTGGGAGTATCCCCCCACAGAGGGACAAAAGGACCCCCTGATGATCCTCTACCTAATCACATGAGCCAAGGCATGAAAGGGGGGGGTAGGTCACAATCAGCCAAGGTTTTGGATGAGCTCATTGTGAAATCTAGCCATACCCTATCGTGATTTCCTGAGGTCAGATGGCCCAGGGTGTGAGTGGGTGTTAAGGCGTCTGGGAAGGGATCTCAAAACTGGATTATAGATGGCAGACAGTTGGTGTCATAAGCCACCGCCTCTGTTCAAAGATGGTCGCTCACAGTGGACGTGAATGGCCTCTTTTACTCCTCTTTCAAACCATCTGTCTTCTCTGTCCAAATGTGAACATTGGCATCCTCGAAAGAGTGACCTTTGTCCTTTAGATGCAGATGGACTGCTGAGTCTTGTCCCGTAAAGGTGGCTCGTCTATGTTGTGCAATGCGCTTGTGAAGTGGCTGTTTGGTCTCTCCAATGTAGAGGTCTGGGCATTCCTCGCTACACTGTACAGCATACACTACATTGTTAAGTTTGTGTTTTGGAGTTTTGTCTTTCGGATGAACCAGCTTTTGTCTGAGTGTGTTGCTGGGTCTGAAACACACTGGGATGTCGTGGTTGGAGAAAACTCTCCTGAGTTTCCCTGATACACCGGCTACATAGGGGATGACAATGTTGTTGCGTTTTGTCTTTCTTATCCTCCCAAGCATGTGTCTGATCTTCTTTTCTGTGCATCTTTGCTGACTTTATAAACGCCCAGTTAGGATAACCGCATGTTTTAAGTGCTTCCTTTACAAGTGTGTGTTCCTTCTTTTTCCCTTCAGGCTTAGAGGGAACACTCTCTGCCTGGTGGTGTAGGGTCCTAATTACTCCAAATTTGTGTTCCAGAGGGTGGTGGGAGTCAAAGAGGAGGTACTGGTCCATGTGTGTGGGCTTCCGGTAAACTTCAATGTTGAGTTTCCCATTCTCTTCAATGTGCACAGCGCAGTCCAGGAAAGGCAAACAGTTATCCTTTGTGTCTTCCCTGGTAAACTTGATGTTTTTATCCACGGGGTTAATGTGCACAGTGAAGAATTCCACTTCTTGGAGTAATTAGGACCCTACATGCTTTTTATTTGTTTTTGTTTCTAATGTCTCTGTAAAGCACTTTGAATCACCTTGTTGTTGAATTGTGCTATACAAATAAACTTGCCTTGCCTTGCCTTACACAACCGGGCAGGGGTCTTTTGCCCCTCTTTGGGGGGATATTCCCACAGGGTTTAAATCTGGGACTTTCCACCGTTTGACCCTAGAACTGAAGAAGCTTCTCAGATGAGAGGTGAAACGTCTTCAAGCAACTTAACCCTTTAAAACCGGTTGGAGCAGGCACGCTCCCTTTTGCGTAACTATTTTTAATTCACTGTAGAACTGGAACCACGTAAGCTAGCGCAATATTTTTTTTGCATATGAAACCGGAGGAGTTGTACTTCGCGAACTATCGCGTGTCCGCCATTACCTGCTTGAAACCGAAGGCACATAAGCCTATGCTGGTGTTTTTAAAAGTTATGTTTGACTTTATGCTTTTCTTCATAGTTTCATGGATGCTTAAAATTCAAATTGCACTGCTGGAAATAGTTTATTTTGATGCACATGCTGTTTTTTTTTTTTTTTTGCAAATTTGCATTATAATATTTATTTTTCGGTTTTCCTGCAGTATAGAAAAATTGGTGTATCTCAAAAATAAAACTATAAAGACACTCAAAACAAATTTCCTGTTGTTGGAAACTATTCTGTGCAACTTTTTTGTATTTACAGTTTTGAGGTATAAGCCTCTTAAATTTCTCTAAGTAGAAATATATGTGAAAAAAAATGTAAAAAAATGATTTTCAATTTTTTTTGTAGTTTATTGCACTTTTTTGCAATTTATGTAGTTACTACGTACTTAATGCAGACATATTATTAAAATTTGGGCTATAACGGTTGTATTGATGTGTATAGCAACTTGAAATGCTC